GAATAATGTTTGAGAAATACTCGAAAAATATTCGATTCGTACACATTTGAATATTCGAATCTGCATCGCACCAAAAGTCTGCTATTCGCACAGCTCTACTAAGTATACAGGCTTGTGTGACTATTCCACCATTGCAGTATTCAAATTTGCTTCGATTCACACTTAATTTCGAAGTACTCAAAATGCATGTATTGATGTACATTATACCGCATGTAATCACCCTGTAAAAGTGGTTTTACTGCAGTATAAAGGTGCTATACCGTGAATACACCTATCCAGGGCAAATCTGCACTGCCACGAAGCCCCACTTAAAGGTTAAATGAACATATTATCTTCACATCTATTCATCATTTTCAAGTTTAAAAGATTGTTATGTCAGCTTATACGCTCGAAGTTTAGTCAACTTTAAAATTCAACGTATTTTACACGTTATCACTAGCATTGTACCGAAAGTCAAATCATGCTTTTATTTAGAGTTGCTTCTACTTCCTTTGAACCAAAAAGAATGACATTTGCACATGTCTTTTTTCAACTTTAAATATATATATTTTAAGCTTGTGCGAATAGTGAATTTCAGGTTCGAAGCGAATAGTGATTTTCGTCGAATAATTTCGAATCGAATTTGAATAGCCTATATAAAACATATTATAAAGAAAAAAAATAGCATATTTGTCATGACCTAACAAACATTCACATTATTTTTAAAAAATTGAGACAAGGCCTGTGCAGATACAATTTTTTTTTGCATCGAAGAAAGTGACAACCTTGAATAGTAGCATGTTTCGACTTTCGCTAGAATGCAAGCATAAGCCTGTAAAATATGTTACTCTTTAAAATTTGCTATATTTAGAGCATGTAAGTAGGTATACCAAGCTTTTAAACTTAAAAGATGAATCGATGCGAGGGCAATATTCTCATTTAACTTTGAAGTAGGACTTCGCGGCAGTGCAAGTTTCTCTTGTATGTGTGTTTTCACGGCTTTGCACCAATTAAGTGCAGTGAAACCATCTTTACAGGGTAACTAATGCGAATTAAGTGCAATTATTCGTTTGCTTCGAATAATTCAAAATTTTCTATATTTTAAAATCGATTCAAAGCGAATTCGAATATTCTCACAAGCACTTTATATATTGACGCGCGTATGTGCCAGTGGTGAGGACAACGAAGCAGCGCGAGTGTCTTTAGCCGAGGGCAAAAGACGAAGAAGTCCTTGCAGCCTGTTTCCAGGATCGTATTTCTTTGAGGCGCTTTGTGTGCTCGTCAATCTCGCGTCGTCACAATATATATATATATATATATATATATATATATATATATATATATATATATATGAGATCTAACAGACAGTAATGCCAAGGAATGTACAGGGGAAGTTATTAGAACCAATGGAATGTAAATAAGAAGAAAGAAAAGTGGATGAAAAAATAACCAGCCAAGGTAACGCGTTATATATATATATATATTATTGTGCAGGTTAGTTGGGTCATGACAAATATGCTCATTTTTCTTTATAACATGTGATACATATAGTATTAGAATTCAATTCAGAATTATTTGATTAAATTAGTATTTTCATTGAATTTGTTTCGAACATAAAATTTGCTGTTCACACAAGTCCATAAAACTAGTCAATAGCAGTAACACCCTTTGCCTCAAGGTGTTGCTGGCACATTATGCCATTCAATTCATTTAATTTCTGAGCAATAATTTTGTAACCAGGTGCTCTCAATACCTGCCTGACTGCACTGAAACAAATGTGTGCTGCACCAACTGTATTACTTTTTTTTAACCAACTTTATTATCAACCAGAAATTTCCTGTAGGAACCGCAAAAGAACGTTATTCAACACCAGCGTTTCCTTCAGTCAAGGGCAGCCCTGTGCTCCAGTCAATGGAGATAAGGAACAGGCTCATTTGCCGGTAAATAGAAGATGCTGGCAAGTAAGAAGCACCAGTCATCCTTGACAAGTTGAGCATGCACATGCCCTCAAGCCATTTTTCTCATTTTTTTTTAGCAACCCCTCACAATAATTGCCTTGCAACTTTTTCAAGATCACCTGCCCGTCATTTTCCTTTGATCTACTGTTCTTGACCACTCTTGCATCTCATATTTGTTAGGGGTATTGTGTTCACAGTATAGTCTACCTCTTATGTAAGACTCCCTTTATTATGGAATGCGATTAAAAAATTAAATCTCAATGCTGAAGATAATTACTGAGACTACTAGATATTAACATAAACTTGTTTCTCAATCTCAAGTGACAAGTGAAAGCTAATTAAATCTAGAAATTATGATTAACTGGTCATAATCAAGGAGGCTAAGCTGTAAGTGTCTGTCACAAGAAAAAACCAATGAACAAACTCGTAGAAATCACACCTTTAAGGATGGTAAAAGAATTTTAAAAGTATCCAAGTAAGCTAGATAACAGTTAGTTTTTTGTTTTATTTGCATGCAAACAATTCTGATTATCATATAGTGCAATGTCTTATGAAAAATTTCCATCAGAGAGGTGAAGATTACTAAAAAACAAAAAGATATCTTTACACTGAGCCAGAGAGGAGGGGGGTTGAATTACACTGCACTACCGTTGTTTGATGCTAGTTTGCAATCACTCGCATTTGAATTAAATAAACTTTCACAATCTCCACACTTCTGTTTTTCAATGACAAAAAATATTGTGAAAGAGGTAAATTTCACCATTAAAATATACATTCTTACACTGTGATGACTATGCAATTTACCGCATGCAAACAAACTCTCCACTGCTGCCCAAGATGCGTTCAAAATCCCTTGCATTCAAGGAGGCTAAATTCTCAATTCACCACTTTACAAACTTGTACCATGATTGATGCCATTTTAATATGAACAGCTAGCAACAAAATAAAGTCTAAGCTCTCAACTTTACTCTCAGCAGCTCTTTGTGATAATCATTTTAAACATACTAAACAAGCACAAAATGTATGTACACAATCTGGAAAAAGCACAGATCACTGGAGCTCAAATAGACTTCAGGCCCATGTAAATACAACCATGTGCTGGACGAGCCGGTATCATCATCAGCCCTTTTCGTAAGTTTGCACTGCACAAGATCAGCTTGTCCTTTGGTTTTTGGGCACAGCAGGATGTGACTGTGCATTTGAAAAATCACTCTATCCACTAACATCTAAAGTTTACTGATAGTTTAGTCATGACAAAATGCCTACCAACTATACGAGGTTGTAAATCAGTTCATCCTCTACTGTAACTCTAAATTGGTGTTTGTTATTGCTTCACACTTACAATGTAAACTAGACAAATTTTGGTGAAGCAAGCATACCTAGGTAGCCAGAATTCTTCAATCATACCAGTTGCAAAACTCCATTTCGAAATGAATACATGACTATGGAAAAACTTATAGGGGTTAGTGAACCAATTTAACACCTAGGACCAACAATAGAAAAAAAAAAAGCATTTCTACAGTCTTTGCTGTCCCTGGGTGAGTTACTGTGGCAAGAATTAGAGGAAACACTTTCAAGAACAATGAGATTTCTGCAGCCACTAAGTCACAAGCAAAAAGTAAGCCTTAAAACACACTGCCTGTTTCACAAAGCCTGCGATCCCATGCAATGCCAAAAAAAAAAAATGTGTGTGGGGGGGGGGGGGGGGGGGGCGGATTTCTCGTTTGTTTCTCTGCTGACAAGTGGCACCAGAATCAACAGACCTCTCATAATTTTGGCCAATGCGGTGTTCAAATTATGATAAGCTTAGCCAATGGCTGCAAACAATTTGTATGATTGAAGAACTCTGTGTACAGCAAGTATTGTATAAGCAAAGCTGGTGCTTTTAGAGACAACTTTGCCTTGTTTATTTGTTTATTTTGCACACCCTCAATTGCTGAGGCATTGTAGAGGAAGCAATACGTGAAAATTAGCCATGCTAGATTATAGTAGCTTAAACTTGAACCATTAGCAATACTTTCTCAGCACATGACTGATGATGTGGAAGCCTACAATCCAGTATTAGGCTATGTTTATGATAATGTTACACTAAAGAATGAGCCGAGAGACAACAAAACCAGCTATCTAATCATAGCGAACAAAAATGCTACTATTTTACTCCTATGATAGACCACACAGAGTTAGCAAAACCTGTAGATGTTCACGGTATTCTGAAGCACCATGGGCATAGCCATAAGAGTCTCATAGAACTGCAGTTCAATGCAACTTTGCTAGGCTTATAGCAGAATGCCTGGAAAGCAGGAGTGCATTTGCTTTTTTGCAGCAAAAACTGTTATGAGATTACAATTTGGGTCACGCACCACTGTAGTAGTCTGCTGCCGCCGCCATTGTCCACAACCACATTGCACGAAATTAGAATAAAAACCTAGCGCCAATGACACAGTGGGGCTTGAGCCCGGATCCACTGGGTGCCAGCCCAGTATTCTACCACTGAGCAATGCTGGTACTTGGGACTTGATGGCAAACTAGCCTTAGGCAGGCTTGATGTCGTGAAAGCAATCGCATTAATATGACTTTTAAAGTGTTTTAGAACAGCGAAAGAACAACCAGTCGTCGCACAATGCGAATAGCGTAACGAGTGGGTTGTCCAATGCTCCAAACCATTACAAAAGCTTGTTCTTGTTCACCAAATAACTGTTGCGCATACCCACTTCAGCCACAATTCCTCATCGTCATCAGCCACTGCATGAACAATTGGCACGGAATTCCTTGCAAGTGCTTGGCGGATACCAAGCTTCTCAGAAGAATGATAAAAAATAGCATAGCTAATGCGGGAGTACTACCAAAAAATTTTATTAATAATGTTGTAGTGGGTATCAAGCAAGTGTACTTGCAGCAGTTACCCCATGAGTGTTAAGAAAAGGCTCTGACAGGCCACTCGTCTAGCTTTTGCTGTGACTGTGCTGTGCCTTACATGCAGGCCTGGCGTTTTTTCAGTGTGCATAGAGGAACAATACCGGTCTACGTGAAACAGTACTCTAAAGCTTGACAAATTCCACTCACCGAAAAATTTCTTGAGCTGTCTCTTTTACAAGTTCAAACAAAAATTCACAGTAGGCTCGGTAGCTGTCTCCATCAACACCCGATACACCAGCCTTTTCACCAACACACTCGGGGCTGAACGTCAAGTTGGCAAGACCTTTTCCCTGCACGGCTGTTGCATAAACAATGGTGGCTGCTTTCTGTATCAAAGTGGACACTTCAGACTCCATATTAGGCACTTTCCATACAGCTTCAGAAAACAGCCTTGACATGAAGCCACTCTTTGGGGGACTGTAAGGAGGTGGTGGCTTGTTTGGAATACGTCGTTGGTAGGCCAAAGCATTGTCACCGGAGCCTAAGCCAAAGTCATCATCAAACCAATCCTGCTCTGAAGTTGTTGACAAAAAGCAGTCTTCAGCTTGCACTGCTTTCGAACAGAGCTCCTGAAAGAAGGAAAATGGAGAGAGAAAGTAATAAGAAACAGAAAGTTAATTTAGGAAAAACTGCGACAGTCCTGCCCACGAAGTAGACAGGACTGTTGCAGTTTTTTTTTTTTTTTTTTGTAAGGGAACATATAGCAGGGCCTCATGTAGGAGAAATGGACTCAAGAAGCGTATGATGGGGGGGCTAGTTGGTAAGACATTTAGGATAATCATAACTGCGCTGAAAACGAGACAAGAGAACGAAGTGGACAGGACTACGATCGTCCTGTCCACTTCGTTCTAGTGTCTCGTTCTTAGCGCAGTTATAATTTTCCTAAACGTCTTACCAACTAGCCCCTCATCATACGCTTCTCTAGAAAGTTAATGTAATGAAGCTTTAACAAAACTTGCAAAAATGATTTTTGCCAAAACCACAATACGGTTATGAAGCATACCATAGTGAACAGACTTCGGATTAATTTCAATCACCCGGAGTTCTTTACCGTGCACGTAAACCTACTGGTGTTCTTTACAATTTAGCCCCATAAAAATGTTGCTGCAGTTTCACGATGGTCAGTGTAAAAAAAAAATGACACAAAAAAACAAGGAAGAGCACAACACAAGTGCTTGTGTTGTGCACTTCTTTGTTTTTTCATGTTTTTTTTTTTTGCACTGACCATCATGAGTATGTTCTAACTAGCCCACTTTGCTACATTACTTCAGTGGCTGCAGTAGCCAGCGCGATGAAGCTGCTTAAAAAGTAAGCACTGAAGCTAATTGAAAACTTTGAAGGCACTTGAGCTTCGCCTTCAAAAGTAGAATGTGATAGCGTAATCGGGCCCCATGTGCATCACATTCTCAATGGCTAGCCAGGCTTTAGTTCTTGATGCATGCCTAACTGTGTCATAAGAAAATGAACAACTGTGCCCATAACATAGGCCATTTCAAACTATCCTAGAATTCCTACTGCAAGTACAGTTAAGTATCCACTACAACATCATTCTTCATTTTGTGAATCAGCAAAGGCCACACTTTGCATCTGTAAGGCAATGTGCGAAGATACGCAGCTGCTCACTTTGTCGATGATTTTGATGCTGATGATGATAAAATATGTCTGAGCCCTTTGTAATGGGTGAGCCTTCAAAACACTCACTAATTGTGCTATTAACATGTTTTGATACTTGGAGCTACTCTGATATATTACAAGCATTAAGGAGATTTCCTTCACTACACGGCATTATTTATAGTGCTTTTTTTAAAGCACCTTGAAAAAGCAATGGTGTACATTTTATTTGCATCTTTTTTATTTTTCAGTCATGGACGAGATGATTAGTTTTCGCTCACAACCAAAGACGTTGACACTCATGCCAACACTCGAATTTGTGTGTAACAAGCTCTTTAAAAGAAACATTCATAAGCTTCAACAAGTGCTAATGGAGCAGCAACTAATAGGGCTGGAAGGGGACTGAAATATGTGCTACTTTAATATGTTTTCTGTTCTCACCTCTCAGGGTCACTTTCCCAGAAGAGCTGATTAAGTTAATGTAGAGGTAGTTTAATATCATGTAAACTTCCAAGTGATATGAAATGAAGATTATGATGATATGATAGTGTTTACTGGTATAAAGACCAAATGTAGCCAAAGAGTACAATGACTATGACTAATGAATTATTGATGACCAATGAATTATGATATGGAATGTATAGGGGCCCTCAATTGCTATATAAATGTGTAAAATATATATAAAATAAATAATATGGCAGGGTGTGAACATTCTTAAAAAATGCAAACACTATTTGACAGCCAATACCAATTAATACAGATGGCGGCAGTAAATATACTACCAGTATGGCATGGGTAGGAGCCTTTTTTTTTTTTAGCTCCTAGTTCATGGCATTCTAACAAGATGGGCAGAATGGCAAGTGACTCGCCACGTCTTTCACAGACAGGTGGTTCACCACCAGTCAGCAGGTATGTGTCGCAAATATGTCTTATCCTAAGTTATAATAATAAAAATATCTTGGGCTTAACGTCCCAAAATTATGATATAATTGTGAGAGACGCCATAATGGAGGGCTCCGGAAATTTCGACCACCTGGGGTTCTTTAGCGTGCACCTAAATCTTATGCTAAGTCACCATGATGTTATTGTGACCTCAGTTCACCAAGATTTCCTTACGTGTAGCGAATTTCCTAGCTGTTTAACAACATGAAGCATATCCCACAAGCCGTGCCAGCATCTCTCGAGCTTTTTTCCGCATGAAAGGCTCAAAATCTAAGGGAGAGCTAGACTTATTGGATTTTGTTACTATTGTAGTATTTTTGTCTGCAGCCCAGACACCAAGCATACTGCGATATGCTGGTTTGACATGCATGCTGCACATAATACTGAATAAACATAATTTAATGCTAGATTACTGCTTCCAGCGAATGCAGTAATCCCGATACATTTGTACAATTGTACAAATGTGCAATTCCTGATACATTTGTTTTCCCAATACATTTAGTACAATTTTATGGAACATACTGAGACACGTATATAAGCAACTGCCTTACACATCAGCACATAAATGTGTACAAATGACAAACATCAGAGGGTCCAAAAGCTGGTGAAATTAGCAATGTAGACAACACACAAATCAACTAACCTTTGGACTCATCTCAGCAGATGCATCCTCACTCACTGTGAAAATTGGGGAAGTTAAAGCGTCCTTCCAGGAAAACTCCTCATCATCAAGATCCGTTGAGAGTACCATCAGGTCTTGTGGCCTCTGTAACTCGCGACTGTTCCTCGTTTCTTCAATGCTTGCAAGGATCGCACTCACCTTCTGGCTTACGTTCGACTTATGACTGTCACTCTCAACAGACATGGCAGTGAGCAGTCCCTTCTCCTTTGCAATGACTACTACTGAGTCTATTGCCTCAGAAACAAGCTTCTCAGCAAGTACATCAATCACTTCCATGACCCAAGGTTTACCAGCCTCTAAGGAGGAGCTGTGAAGTTGATCAGCTATTTCTGTCACCTTATCTCCTACAGCACCAGCCAATGTTTCTCTGTCAGTGAGCTGGACATGGAGCTCATCAGAGTTCCTCTCTGCGGCAGACAGCACTTCTTGATTTGATGGTGCAGTAAAATAGCCAAATCTAGCTGATGAATCCAATGAAAGCTGACATTCACCCTGCACTTTTCTAGTAACTTCATCAGACGAAGCTGCTTTCACTGTCCTAGATTCTTCAGCAAATGGTATTGAAGAGTCCTGTCTGCCTACCAGGGATTTCATGGTATCCTCTAGAAGATAATAAAGGATGCCATTAACTGCCTTATCAACTTTTCCTTCTTCAATTGCTTCTTCACGAGACAAGCTTGAATCTATAACTGTACTGCGTACAATCTCTTCTGTGTACTCTGCTACTTCCTCGGTGACTGTTGATTCATCCTCTAAGCTAGACAGACTCGCTGGCGCATCAGCAGCCTTGCTGCTGGAAGGACTTGAAGCTTCTTTAGGCACAGCTACTTCAGTGGAGTTTTCGATGTTGCCTAACAGTTCTTTATTACTTTCTTTCTCAAATACTGGTGCCACTTCACAAGACTGTTCATTTTTGGCTTCGTGGCTCATAAAATTTTCATTCTCGCCAAGAGAAGAGAGTATTCCCTCAGAAGTGTCATTCTGGGACTCTGAGTTGTCTGTGATTGGTATATTAGCCTCCTTCACAGGCTGGCCATTAGAATTTTCCTGATCTTTCATGCTGCCTTCAGATAAGAGACTTTCAGATGCTGTTGCACAGATTTTTTCACTGATGGCATCGTCACTCAACAGCGTCTCGTCTTTGACAGCGTCACTTTGAGTCATAAATGTTGGATCAACACTGTTCTTCACAGAAACACCTTCTGCATTATTACTAGCTCCAGAAGTCTTGTCAAGAGTCGAAGTATTATCCTGGGTATTTGTTTCACCAGTGAGTTTTGCACTAATGAGCAAGGAGTCTTCAGCAACAGGTTCAATCTTGGAAACGAAAGACCTTTGTTCAACTGCCTTGGAGCTAGCACACGAAAATATTGCCTCTGGTTGTTCAGTGTCCCTTTTAGAAGCAGATGCAGAAACCTCCTTACTGCTAAACTCTTCCAAAATTTCAGAAGTAGATGACATAGATGTCCTTGGGGGTGATTTATCAGTAACAGGTGGAGTAGCTAATCTGGGGGTCAATTCCTCGGTACCAGATGAGACAAATGAGGAGGCTTCATTGGACTGCTCTTCCTCAGTAGCAATTTCAGATTCTGAAATAAAGGTGTGACATATTAATTGACACAAGTGCTTCAAAAAACAGGAACTCTGCTAGAAGCAATGGAAGACAGTACACTTACCAGATTTTTTCAAGGATCCAGACAACACTTCCACTGGTGACTCAGTGCATAGTTTGGATTCCTTGTTTTCTGGTACCTGTAAAGTACACAAGTACAGGAAAATTAATGAAACAAAGAACCCTTTATTCCCAATAAACTGCAGGAAACTGCAGGAGACATGTTAAAAAAATACATGACTTCCACTGGTTGATTGATTACAAAATTATTGCTGCTTGTCAAAAGACAAAAAACTACTTGCCAAGGCTGGCTGTGCCCCACTCTCGGGAGAACTCATCTGCACAAGCCGGTGCTTCCGCTGTTCGGCAGCGCGAGGCTTCTTGATTTGTGGCTTTACAAATGATGCTTTTTCCTGCTGAGCCATGTCCAGCTCCTTCTGTAGCTCCTCCCTTGCTTGTTGAATCAGTTTATCATACAGCTGGAATAAGCCACAACAAAATAAGTGTGAGATATTGTGAAATAAAATAAATGGTGATGTAGAACATACACACAAAAAAAGAAGAGTTGGGACAACAAAAACATAAAAAATACACTCAGCAAGTAAGTTATATTCTTATTTAAAACAGTGTACACTAGATTTCTCAAGGGCAATATGAAGTACAGTCAGCAAACTTAACACAAACGCTCTGCATAGTGTCCTTAAAACAGTTTGATTGCCACTAGCGCCACACAGCTTGAGTTTTGCTGCAGAGATATTACCCATGCATGCTGACATACTATCCAAGCATACAGTGGTATTATCTTGGCAAGAGCTCCCAGCGCTTCACAGCTGGCATAAAGTAGTCCAAGTCACGCATCAGAATGCTCGTGCTAAGCTAACTGATGACTTTACATGACAAGACGGGCGCTGTGTCCTCGATGTTATAGCGGAACATTTGTCCTTGCAAGATGTAGTGCTACAATATTTCAAGTAAGAACTTAACACCAACTAGCCCCATAACATGTTTTGTTAAGCGAGTTATAAGTAGAAGGAAAGTGGAATAATGAAACATGTGCCAATACAGTGGGCAGTCTCTCTGCCAAAGAGAGACTGCCCACTGTATTGGCACATGTTTTATTATTGTGCTTTCCTTTCACTTGTAACTGCTTAGACTGCCCACTCTCAGCTCTTTGGCAGAAAGACCATGGGCAGTCTCTTCCAAAGAAAAAAATACTTCTCATACAATGAGCTGAAATATGTTCATGTTAGAAGATTTTGTGAAAGCAGATACTTAAAAAAGTGCATAAGTATGAACACAAAGATGATATCAATCATTAATAATAACATTGCATTATTTATGAGTTATAGTTCATTAATGTTAGGAGACATATTCTCAAAATATCTATCAAAAATGCCACTTTTATGTTATGTTTCTAGTAGAGATTTGTAAAAACTCAAAATTTCAAATATTTTTCTAATAGCATTTGTTATTAGATTCGATTTGCATCAAAATTTTACTATTTCAACTATTACAGCTTCCTGAAAACAAATACAGTCAACGTCTGATTGACAATAGCCCATTCAAATTTTCCATACACTTCATCCCATCACACACTCATATTGAGCCAAAGCTACCTTTCAGGCTCTGCGACGGTTACAAATGTATTCTCAAGATAATGCTGGTTTGAACATAGAGACGATAGATATGGCAGAGGTGGAGGCTCGATGCTGTTTTGAACCTGATATTTATGAAGGAAGTTAGAAAAATTGGATGCTGGAGATTTTTAGCGTACAAAATTTTAGATGTTCTTATATACTGACATCTACGAGGCAGATTTGGAACTCTGGGCTCAAAGGGAGCAGACCCTTGTCCGCCACATCAGTTGGGCTTCCACAGAAGTTGATAAATGACGAGGAGAGCCTGAGTAAATAACATCTTTGCCTCTCACGCACAGAGTGTTGTTGGCAACACCTTGGTTGCACCAAATCATGTACATAAATACGATTCGGCCTCATCATTGCCTCATTCCTGATAAGACAACATTCGCACACGGCCAGCGCTTCATCAACCTAGTCAAAAGAACACTTTCAGCTTGCTATCTCCAAACAATATGCTCAAAATTCCTTTCCACCAGCTTTTTCTGAAATTTTGATTCAAAGTAATTGAAAAGTATTCCAGAAATATTCGAGAAATAATCTAAATATATTATATTCACACTCACACTTGAATATTTGAAGTTGCCTCGCACCCAAAATTTTGCCATTCGTGCAGCTTTAGTTTCTAGCTGCCATTTTCTTCATAAATAAATAAAACGAACACAGTACACCAGATATTTGGTGAATTTTTTACAAAAAAAATTTGAACTAATGGCTACATGACCATGTAAACACAAGCTTTAAAGCTAGTTTTTTTTTTTCTTTTTTTGTAATTCTAATTATGCAAGTTTACATTCAGGCATGTATAATGAATATTTAATTTACTAAGCCAATTTGAGCATGAAAAATGCATGTTTAACTTTTTCATGCAAATAACTTTTCCCTCATATGAACATGATGGACTTAACTACAGTTTTACTAAAACCTTCTCTCTTAAACATTCGATACACTATTTACATTGGCATTATTACTAACAACTTTCTTATAATGTCCCTTAAACTGTTTTTAATAAGGCAGATGCTTTTACGTGATGACCCAAGCAGAGCTCTAGCGAGAATGGGCGAGAGAATTTGTGGATCGAAAAGCACCTCTAGCGCTTATGAGGAATCGCTTTATTCAACCGGGCTCAAGCTAAGTCACATTGATGATGATATGTACAGATGGCAAAAATGTACAAGTGATGATGATAAGCAAAGAGAATGAAGAGTCATTTACCTGTGGCGTTCACACTTAAAATGTCCTTAGTTTAGTGGGTGAGAAATATGGGCCAACTAGAAAATTTTCACCCATTATATTTCGAAAGACAGATGCAAAACTAAAGCATCTTTTAAGGTGACAGGAATAAAACCCTTAAAATGCGAAGCCTCACAACCCACCTTTATGTGTTTCTTGAGGGATTCCTCCCGTTCACGGAGCACTTCAGTGCGGCGGCGTCTTTGCTCCTGCTTTAGCTGCTCTGCCTCTAACTGCCGCTTTTTGAGTTCCTGACTTAGTGCTATGATTCGGCACTCAATGTCACTCTGGTCTGAGGCTGTTTCTGAAAAATCACAACACATAGCAACACATACTATGGATGTAAAGGTGACCACTTTCATTTGCTTTTCCTTCTTTTGGGAAAAAAACAAACAGTGGCTTGTAGGCTCAGGAGATGACTGAAGTAGAACCTCAATTCAATAATGGTAATAGAGAAGAAGAAAATGAAAAACTCCAAGTCGATGAAACCAGAAGGGCTAGCGGTATGTATAAAATATATAGATGGGGCCAAATTGAATGAATATTTCAAACTGAAGAAATAAAAAAAACAGATGTGATATAAAAAAAAACTACTCACCCGAAAGGGACACATTGAAAGAATCTTCGGAGCCACTAGAATCTCGACGAACTTTTCTTCGGACTACTAATGGCTTCTTGATCACCATCGGGCTCCTGCGGCCCCCACTGCTGCTACTATGCCTAATGACATTCTCAGTCTGTGTGGAGACCTCTGCCTCAGAGGAAGCTGATGCCACAACCTTGCTGTTAATAGTTGATTCATGCTGGTCACCACTGTTAAGAAATGCCCCAAAGCAAAAATGAGAGAACAGAAAATGACCGCATTCCCTTGACATGCAAGAGTTGGTGAGAAATTAGTGAGTAAACGGGCTCTCACAGCACAACCTCATGAATGCATACCCAATATGACAAAAGCAAATTTCATGCTACGAAAAGTACTCACAACTGTTTTACCCGAGGTTTGCTTGTCCTAACTATAACATAACTTATGGAACTTTTATTTTTAAACCATTTGCATGGGCATTTTTGTAACTTGGAGCAACATTCAAATAGACATCAATGCTAGCTTTCGTACGACCATATGAGTGTTGGAATACTGATGAGATCTTTCACTAACATGGAATAATACTGTACATAGCATATTAAAGTTCTAAGGCTGCATGGATGCAGCCGTGTACAGTGTCCATGAATTAGCAACAACAATATTAATCCATAGGGTTTTACATACTAAAGCTATATGACATGATTATAAGGGACCCCATAAAGGCAAACACTGAAAATTTTAATCATCTAGTGTTCTTTAACGTGCACTGACATCCCACAGCACATAGGCCTTTACCATTTTGCTACCATCGAAATGCAATCGCTGTGGCTGGGATCAAACCCGGGACCCTTAGGTCAGCAGCCAAGCACCATAATCACTGTTCCACTGTGGCAGACAGTGTTATCATGAACTCAAATGCGACATCACAATTTTTAGTATCACGACTGTTATGCCAAACTTCGGATAACAAAGTCTGGTCTCTGAGGATAATAAAGTCTAGTAATCTGGTGTCTAAACACGTCTATGTGTTCAAGTCAAAATTACACCAACATGACCCAAACTAAAGACTGTCAAAATGAAAGTACGGCCATTACTTAGCCCTAAGCTTCCATTTCAATCCTTGACTACTGTACACACTGCAGCCTTCAAAAGTAAAAATATAGGTAATGGACAAGCATCGCAATAAAAATCGGTGATCTCCTTAGTTTCCCTTGTTCCTACTGTTCATTTTCAATACATAATTTTGGCAAACTGGCAAAATCATGGGCAAGCAGCCTGTATTTTATTATAAAGAAAGAGCGGAAGAATAAAACCTGCATCAGGGCGCATCATGTAGAACTAATATGTCTGTACCATACCATACCACATAATTGTGTTAACTGAAGCTAAATTCACAGTCTAAATATGCATGTCATATGATTCAAAGTGACAAGGCGCATGACTGAGGGTAAAATAATATATACGAAACAACAGATTTTCCCCAAAAAATACATTTCTTGAAAACTACTGAAGAGAGTTGGCAGTTTTGCTGAACAAAAGCAAAAGTACAACAAATGAAATTGTTCTAAATAATGTTTTTTTTAGATAAACGTGCTAGAATGAATAGATTCGTGTTAATTACTAACCAAACCAAACCATTGACATAGATGATATAGCAATCATATAACAGCTTTACCGCTGTATAGACATTTCAATCCAATGCATACAACAGTAACGAAAAGAACTGATAGAGCAGATAATATTGCCAGATGGTTTGCTTGGGTGAGATCGAAAAGTGAAAGAGGACAAAGACGATCTCTCTGAGCCGCTGCTTGGCTAGTCGACTCAACGAGCCCATTGTATCAAGTTTGTCGTGAATAACGTGACAAGACTGGTGGAGGTGCTGGGTACAACGTCTCGCGATCCACCCGATGACCAAGACCCCGCCCAGCAGCCGGAACACAAGCCCTGCACCCGTGGACACTCCTGTTGATAGAGTAAGCCGCCGCCAACGAGGCCTACCGCCCGACACACCAACCACTGACGCAGCGACTATGACTTCGACACAAGATCCCGTGCAAGCTCCAACACCTTCCACGCCGATCTACTGCACCGTCCAGAACCCGCTCATGCCTAGCCCCTTTCACGGAGAGCAGCATGAAGATATTGACGACTGGCTGAGTGAGTTCAAACGTGTCGCAGCGATCAATTACTGAGACGATGCCGCGAAGCTCCGGAACGTGTACACTTGCCTAAAAGACGGTGTTAAGACGTGGTTTTTGAACAGGGATGATGTTCTGACATCTTGGCGCGTGTTCCAGCGTCGCCTCCCGGAGACCTACAGGAGTCCCGACCGGCGCGAACGGGCGGAGCGTGCACTACAATCACGCATCCAGATGCCTAACGAGACCGTCTCGATGTACGTCGAGGACATGACACAAGCGAGCGGATCCTGCTATGGCAGAAAAAAAAAAGTTGCGCCACCTCATGCGTGTGTGAAGGAACAACTTTTTGCTGGTTTGGTGCGTAGTCCCCCCAAAAGTGTTGCTGAGTTCCTTACTGAAGCGGCAACAATGGAGCGAGTACTGCACCAACGGCCTGCCCTGTTTGACCGTCAAGTGAATGCTGCCTCAACTCCCAAAATTTTCGCCACCCCTGGGAGCAAGAGCCCCGAATGGATTCGTGAGATCATCTGATCTGTCGTCCGGGAAGAAATGGAAAAGATGTACGGGACAAGGAAATCGATGTTGGTTCTATCACCAGTGTCATCCGTGACGAGGTCCAGCAGGTGCTGCACGCCCATCGTTTTCCGCCCATGTCGGTTGATCCGGAAACGGCTCCTGTGTCTACTGACAGTCACCGTCGTACGTACGCGGAAGCCTTGTGATCTACCACGCCTCTTTCTGGTCAAGGAGTCCCGACCCAGACAGTGCCGCACGTCCCGATCCAGACAGTGATGCACGTACCGATCCAGACAATGCTATACGTCCCGCTCCAGACAATGATGCCGTCAGTCGCGATTCAGTCAGCGCACGCTGATTTGGACATCGATAGTCGCCGTGCACCGACACGCAAGTCTGATCTCTGGCGTATGCCAGACAGACGACCCCTCTGCTATCATTGCGGTGAGGCTGGTCACATTTACCGCGAATGCCCATACCGGCAACTTGGACTGCGCGGATTTTCCATCAATTCCCCTCGTGCCCAAATCGGTCAAAGGCCAAGGGATATCGAAGAGTATCTCGCGCAACAGCGTGCACCCTTTACATGACGGCAATCGCGGTCACTATCTCCGAGGAGACCCGCAGCCACTGGGCCACGTTTCGGGGTGACGGCACGGGAACGCTCCCCAAGCCCTCGTCAAGAAAACTGAAGGCAGCGGCCTTCGGGGGCAAGGTCACTGGGACTCAAAGTGCGGAAGACCTTCCATCGACGCTTGCACGCAATTCCGAAGGCATTTCGTCAGAGAATAATCGCAGTACCGAAGAAACGCTGACATCCACATCTGAACCTAGTAACCGCGTGTCACTCGACATACCTGTGCTGATTGACGGTCTTCAGGTCAGTGCATTGGTAGACACTGGTGCAGACTATTCGATTATCAGCGGGAGGCTAGCGAAAGATCTCAGGAAAGTGATCACGCCGTGGAATGGAACGCGAATTCGAACAGCTGGAGGACACGTTGTAACACCGCTGGGTCGCTGTACCGCAAGAGTGAAAATTCGTGCGTCAACGTTTGTGCTCAGCTGCCTCGTTCTTCGCGACTGTTCGCGTCAGCTGATTATCGGCATGGACTTCCTTCGGGAATACGGTGCCATCATAAATCTCCGTGAGCGCATCGTGACCTTCTCGACTCAAGGCGCAACAGATCGAGACGCTGATAACTGCCGTAGACCTGCACTGTGTGTTGCTGACAACAGTGTGACGCTGCCACCTCGAGCAACTGTTCCCATCGAAGTCACTTGTGAAGACTTCCAAGACGCCGACGTGGTGGCTGAAAGCAACCTATCACTTCTGCTGCTCCAAGGTGTGTGCGCCGCCCGAAGTGTTGTGCGCGTCCGTGACGGGCATTCAACGATACTAGTTACGAACTTCAATTACGAGCACCGGCATCTTTTCCGCGGAACCACCTTAGCTTATGGAGACCCTGTTGCCAATGTCACGGAATGCTTCGCGTCCGAGGAAACGCATAAGGATGAGGAATTTCTAGACCGCATCGACATTAATTCGACGCTGTCAGACGAGAGAAAGGCTGCACTTCATGACCTTTTAAGGGAGTTTTGATCTTGCTTCGCCTCTTCTTCTAAAGTCCGTCAAACACACCTCACGAAGCATCGAATTATTACCGACGATGACGTCCGCCCCATCCGGCAGCAGCCTTATCGCATTTCTGCCAAAGAATGCGAGGCTATTCGGACACAAGTAAAAGAGATGCTCGATGATGGGATTATTCAACCATCCAGCAGCGCTTGGTCCTCGCCAGTCATTCTAGTGAAGAAAAAAGACGGAACGCTGCGATTCTGTATTGACTACAGGAAGCTTAATAGCGTCACAAAAAAAAGACGTCTACCCGCTTCCACAGGTCGACGACTCCCTCGACAGGTTACGACGCGCGAAGTATTTTTCGTCCATCGATCTAAAGAGTGGCTATTGGCAAATTGAAGTGAATGAACGAGACCGAGAAAAAACCGCGTTTGTGACTCCAGACGGACTTTATGAATTCCGAGTTCTTCCCTTCGGCCTCTGTTCGGCACCAGCCACTTTTCAGAGGATGATGGACACAGTTCTCGCTGGCTTGAAGTGGCAAAGCTGCCTTGTCTACCTCGATGATGTGGTCATCTTTTCCGAGAGCTTCGAAGAACATCTGAAGCGTCTGAGAAAGGTTCTGGAAGCCATTCGCACAGCTGAACTCACGCTGAAACCTCAAAAATGCCATTTCGGCTATGAAGAGCTGAAATTTCTGGGACATGTCATTAGTGCGGATGGAGTGCGACCTGATCCAGACAAAACTGCTGCTGTCGCCGCCTTCCCTGTTCCATCAGATAAAAGAGCAGTACGCCGTTTCCTCGGCTTGTGCGCGTATTATTGCCGATTTATCGCCAACTTCTCGAAGATAGCTGAACCTCTTACGCGACTCACCCGAGATGGCGTGCCCTTTACTTGGGGCGCAGAACAAGATACTGCGTTCACAGAGTTATGACAGAGAATGCAAACAGCCCCTGTTCTTGCCCATTTTGATGAGGACGCTGCT